AGACTATCACCTATGGACAGGCGCACACATGGCTACGCAATACAAATCCTTTTTTAAGAGCAATTTTCAAATCAAATTTAAGGTTTTTTAAGTAGCCGGCCTTCGGCCGGGGCTTAAGACTTTCAACTATGGACAGACGCATACATGGCTACGCAATCCAAATCCTTTTTTAAGAGCAATTTCCAAACCAAATTTAGGTTTTTTAAAGTAGCCGGCCTTCGGCCGGGGCTTAAGACTTTCACCTATGGACAGACGCATACATGGCTACGCAATCCAAATCCTTTTTTAAAAGCAATTTTCAAATCAAATTCAAAGTTTTCTAAGTAGCCGGCCTTCGGCCGGGGCTTAAGACTTTCACCTATGGACAGGCGCATACATGGCTACGCAATCCAAATGTTTTTTCTTTCAATTTTAGTTAATATTATATAATTTACAATGATATACTATATTTATTTTTAAAGCACTATTCAAACCCTTTAAAATGATACCCATATTGCTTTGGTGGCATTAGTAAAACGGCCGTTTTAACCAAGGTATATTCCAAACTTTCAAGGCCCATATCTCGGGAAGTATGCATTTCCCCCAAATAAAATATATATATCACTGTAATCAGCACAACGAGGACTACTTACGGCAAAAATTTCAAAGCGATCCGGGTGGAGCCCCTAAACTAGACTTAAGCCCTAAAAACAAATGGGTATACCACAGTACTATCAATTACTATAGTTTTTTTTATGAAAACAACAACTGGGATTCAGCCTGACTATTTTGCAAAAACAAAATACAAATATCCTAAATAACCCGCAAACACAACTTACTCTGTTATTTGTGATTTTGTCTATTATTTACTTAAATTAAAACGGGACTCCACAACATTTATATAATAAAAATTAAATATAAATAATTAAATCACAGTTAAAAATTAGGTACAGTGACAAGCAGAAGTGAGTACATGTTTGTACTTTGGACACTTAACGTCATAATAATTAAAGTATAAAAGCTAATTCAAAAATGTGGTTGTATTTTACGTTGTTTTATTTTGTACCTAACAAAACAATTTGATTAATTTGTTATTAATATTGATCTACGCGACACTTAAATCACGTAATCTTTGTAGTTTTACAATTTCTTGTAATCTACAAAGAATCTTTATTTTGTATTGAATATTTATACAATTTTTGAATTACTATAAAATTAACTAAATATGTATAATCAGCATTAATCTTCAACCCATGCATTGTGAAACCATTCGAGTTGTTTCTTTATTTGGGTTACTGGCCTGCATACACAAAACAATAATTAACCCTATGTGGCCCAATGTTGCCCACAGGCAACACAATGTTATAGAGCTAATATTTAATATATTCCTAGTAGATATATGGGAAATTACAAAATTCTTTTAAAATTCCATTAAAAAAAATTTGAAAAATTTTTTTGCGAGCACATTCCTGATTTTTGGTACATAGGTTAAGAAAAATATGCTGATTCGAAATATGTTCGCGTTCACAAATTCGGATGCTGCGCACAAAAGTTATAGCGGTTTTAAATCTTGTATTTCAAATATAAATTAAATGAATTCCTATTCGTTGTAATTCGCGAATTTCTTCACAAATGCTTAAACACCATTGTTATCTTTGCATACTAGTCAAATCACACTGAAATACGGTTTAATAGTCGCGAAAAACAAATAGAAACATGAAGATATCGGAAAATAAAATAAATTAATTTTTGAATTAAAACAAATGTTTTTTGGAATTTTCGATTTTTTAGTATGTTTAAGAGGACACGGTTTTGCCTTAATCTTCTAAAATATACGACGCTTTCTTTTGCAAATTCTTTTAGATGATTGTTAAATATCGGCAGATTCATCTGATAAGAGTTTCGACGTCATTAATGGCTAAATATATTGCACTTACAATACATAAAAATTATCAATATTGAAAAGCTTGCAATTCGCGAATTAGTTGAAATCAGTTGATGCGCATGCGATTTTCGTATAAACCGAATCAATGTCTTTCAATAATTATTAATTTTTCGATGTTTAATTTAGCGGTCAAAGTGTGCCACTCGATGCACTTTACTATGCAAAAACCCTAAAAATGGCTAAAAATCACGCAACGTGCATACGATTTTTATGCGCATCCGATTTTAGTAATCTCCTATGAAAATACGCAAAAGGACACCTATTTTAAAAGGATCGGTTAAGAACCGCGGATGTGCCTCCACAATCAATTTTGGATAAAATATGCATATTATTCACGTATCGATGTATTTTTGACCTATTTCCACACAGATTCGCGAATTTGACAATACAAGCATAAATGAATGTAAAATTAATTCGAAGAAAACCGCGATTATTTACGCGAATTTGTCAAAATAAGTTTTTGCAGTTTTTCCCACATTCAAGGTACCTATATCCGCCGTTTTATTGGACGGAATTCAACATGGATGGGCTCATTAGATCCGCCACGTAAAAAAACTAAAATCACGCGGGGTTCCACGGAATTTGAATGGACTTTCTTAATTTAAGACTCAAAAAATATGTTTTTTATAAAAATTTACGCACCAAATTTTCGTCTTTGGAACCCAATTGCAAAGAAGCTACAGTGAGCACATTCATGAGATATACACTAAACGAAGCAGAATCACATGTTCTACGATCCTATAATTAGTTTATTCTATTATCTGGATGCGCATCCTAATTATAAGAAAAATTCAAAAAACACCGAAAATCCGGCTTCAAAATGTCAGCATCCATTTTGGGTGGATGCAGTGATTATATCGAAAAATCATACATTAGAACCATATTGTCCATGGGGTATTCTGCAACTTAGTCACTGATCACATGTGCGTGCATTGTGTAGTTTAGCCACAAATCGGGAACGAACACAAAAAAACTCGTTGGCTTCAACACATTTTTACCCATTTTTTTACATTACCACCTCCACAGCTTCCACGCAACTTATTATTTATTACCAAAATTTCAAGATTTTGATAAGAAAACTTCATTTTATAGAATTGAATTTAAATTATATGCAATATGTTCATATTTCGCGAGTTATAACCTTGCAAACCTCAGCTTCAAGGAATTTAAAAGATTTTTGTAATTTCCCATATATTCTTTGGATTGCATACGTCAAGGCCTGATTATGGACGACACATATCACAAGAAAAATCTAAAAAATCAAATTTTTGGTAAAGTTATGAGCTTTTTAATAAGGAGAGGGCAAACATGTGTACAGTACTAATTTGTGTATACAGTCCAACTTATTTAAATCGCTTCGTATTTGATATATACGAACTCTGACGTCAGAATTATTTTTGATTCTTGTAAAACAGAATATAGAGAATAATTTAAAATTATTTTTTCGTCGATTTTGCATTTGGTTTTCTTGATATTGGAATGTACTGTATCTCCAGAACGCACGGATGTAGCGATGTCAAAATTTTTCCGTATCCTATCTAGGATAGTTGCATTAAATCTGTGAACAGAAAATTGTTCTATGATTACGGAAAAAATTCGGGGCTCAAAGGGTTAAGTTTAGGTCAGTTATTTGCTGACAATAATAATGTGATTAAATAACAATAATATGACTAAATGATAATAACAATATGATTAAATCATAATATGATTAAATCAATATGTTCTTTTTGAACATTCTTCCCCACGTTGCACGAGACAAGTTCAAGAAACTGCAGCGTTGATGAAATATGATTACGGCAGTGATTGGCGAGGGGTTGGTACTGGATTGCTGTTGTGACATAGATAGCTACTCCAATTCCTACGCAAAGAGCCAAATAACTAGTGACGTGATGATGAACGGCTGTTGTCTTCATTAGTTGTGGCAGGTGTCCAATATCTATGGACTTCAGCTGCTGGCGTATAGTGATGTGTTCAGGAGTACGTGTCTCATATATGTTGTCGAAGGTTGTGTTTAACACGGCAAGCTTGCTGGTTGATATGATTGCGTTTAGCGGCTTAAGTCTTACGTACGACGTATGCCCAACGGTCTGGTTCTCGTAATAACCATATATCGTAATGGTGTTATCTTTCAATATGCAATTTGACCCTATCTCGAGGGCCCCAGTTCCTTGTACTTCCAGGTGAGTCATTTGTGTACCACACACGAATGACAATTCCGTTGCGTTTGCTAGGGTAAATATACATTGACCCTTCTGGACCATTTGCCTCCAACCTTCGTAATAAGTTGTTGACTTTACGCTGTAAGCTTTCGATGATTTATTTAATAAAAAATTGATCTCGCATAAATGTGACCGATCATGCTTGCTCAACTTTGCCTGCTTATGGCTTTTCAGCAGTTCCAGCATGTGTTGTTTGTCCTCATTTGCCTTTTCTATCGTTGCAGCCATTTGATCAGCATATTCAGAGTCCAAAACACCAAATAACGAGTGCGCCAAGTTTCCAACTATGTTTAGAGCACCCCGCCTGCTGTGCCGTGGAAATATTTTCATTGTAGCAGCATTTAGCTGGTTGTGGACTTGAATAAGGCTATCTGATACAACTGCACAAGTTTTGTTTTCAATTGAACTCCTGCACACATCCTGAAGTGTTTTTATTCCAGTGGAAAAGTCGTCCATAAGTTATCGGCCTCCATTCTGCTGAACGACGTGTCCATCGTTGCCCTTGTATGTTCGGGTTATTCTGCCTAGTGGCCACTGCATTACAGGAGTGTTGTCTTCCTTAATGATGACCAATTGACCCGGCTGAATGTTTGGAGATGGTGTACTACATTTCCTTCTTTCCTGCAAAGTGTTTAAGTACTCCGTTGACCAGCTTTTCCAAAACTCGTGCTTGATTTGAGACACTATCTTCCACCTACTTGTCAACGATGTAGTAGATTGCTTGGTTGATGGATCGACTTGTGCTGTGAGGGGTTCACCAACAAGAAAATGACCAGGTGTTAATGCTGTTAGATCATTCGGGTCATTTGATATAGGAGTTAGTGGTCTGGAATTCAGTATCACCTCAATTTCGGTGACTACGCCTCAATTCCGGTGACTACGGTCTCCAACTCTTCGTGAGTCAATGTTGCGGTAGCGGTGGTCAGCAGTAGCAATTGTTTAACTGACTTCACTGCGGCTTCCCAGAGACCGCCGAAATGTGGAGCTCTTGGGGGAATAAATTGGTAATCGATACATTTCCTTGAACATGTCTCCTTTATTAGCATTTTGCTATTCTCTCCAAAAACCGCATGATTAAATTCGTAGAGCTGGTTTTTAGCTCCCCCCAAAATAAGTCGCATTGTCGCAATAAATATTTTCAACGCACCGATAAATGCTTCTGTTGTCCAACCTGTCACTATTTCCAAATGAACCGCCTTTGTAGCAAAACATCAAAATACGGCAACATAGACCTTGTGTGGTCGTTTGCCTCTAATTTTGTAATGAACCCACACTGGTCCGCAATAGTCGACGCCGGATACTATAAATGGCCTTGCTGGAGTGACTCTGCTAGATGGGAGATTTCCCATGATTTGATTATATAACATTGGTTTTGCATGGGTACACCTCATACAATTTTGTACAATATTCCGTGCCATCGCCTTTCCTTTTATGATCCAAAACCTCTCTCTCGATGATGCCAGTAGTAATTGTGATCCACAATGCTTGTTCTTCCTATCGTTGTATGGTAGCAACATTGGTTGCTTAGCGTCATATGCTAAGGTCGATTGTTCCAACCTTCCACCAACCCTTAATATCCCCTTGTCGTCCAAAAACGGAGTTAAACTGTGTATTGAACTGGATTTGTCCAATGCACCATGTTTCTTCAACTGCTGCACTTCCTTCGCGAAATCTGATATCTGAATCGTTTTTACTATCAGTTGCATAGCATGATCTAATTCTGCCGGGGTCAACACTTCTGTCGAACCTCCATACCTTTGTCGATTCACCCTCTCGGTAAACCGTAAGACATAACCCACAACTCGCTGTAATCGGCTGAATGAATTTTTGTGGTTAATTCCATAGATTATATCTTGCAACCCACTGTGTAAAGCTACTGCAGATACTGTAGACTTCACCCTCAACTCAAGATCTATTTGATTTGATCCATTTTTGAAGAAAGGCTTTGGCCAAAGGGACTCATTTCCGTGAAAGAAGGTGGGCTCATAGAACCACATCATACATACTGACAGTCGATCTGCCTTCATACCTCTGGATATAAAGTCTGCCGGATTATCTTTTGTCCCAACATGCCGCCATTGAATGCTTAGTGTCATGTCTTGGATGTATTTCACCTTGTTGGCAACAAACGTTTTCAGTGTTGATGGTTCCGAGTTGATCCAGTATAAGGTAATCTCTGAGTCTGACCAATAAATAGTCTTTACATCTTCATAACCTAGTTCTGCCTTGACCTTCGTAGTCAGTTTTGCTCCTAATTCAGCTGCACACAGTTCTAGCCTTGGCATGGTGACCTCCTTAATTGGTGCTATTTTCGTCTTTGAACATAGAAGCCTTACTATCTGCCTTCCGTCTTGCAACATAGCCCTGAGATATATCACCGCTCCACATGCCTTCCCTGAAGCATCCACAAATGTATGAATTTCAACCTTCGTCGGCTTCTCTCCGTCGAACAGTTCACTTTGCACGATTGGATCATTAGATTATTTAACGATTGACCTGATGAAGTTTTCGCTGATGCGTCAAATACAACCCTACGTTTTGTTGTTGTACTATCGGGCTTAAGAACACAATGCTGCGGAATAAAATATTTAGGATTTGATACGGTACCCACGTCAATCTATTGTATGTGTCCTAATTGTTCATATTCTCGCATAAATTTAATGTACTGGCATCGGATATCTTCCTTCTGTAGAAGTCGGCGTTCAAGGCTCATAAATCGGTTATAAGCCATTGCATGTGATTTCCCCAATGCTGTTGAAGATTCTTGAAATGGAAGACTGACGATGAAACGATCATTCCGATCCGTCTTAACATGTTGATTGAAGTGAGATTCGCAAAGGTTTTCCAATGGAGACATCATCTTTTCAGTTGATTCCACTTCCTCAAGTTTCCATAATTTTTCAATAGCTTTTTTCAGTGATGTTTCACTAAAAATTGGGCATGTTAGCGCTGTTGATGTGTCGTCCGTAGACGATTGTTGAATTAAACCACCTACAATCCAGCCAAGCGCAGTATTTTGGAGTATGGGTTGATGACCATTTAGTTTTATTGTGCCTGGTTGCATTAAACTGAAGTAAAACTCCGCTCCGAGTAAAATGCCAATTTTTCCTTGAACGTTAAAATTAGGGTCTGCTAATCTAATATTTTGGGAATTTGCCAGTTTTGTATATCCAAATCATGATCCAAATTTGTGAAAAAATCAGAATTGATTGATAACATTTGTATGTTTACCCGATGGTAAGCCTTCTTTTGAATCCTTCCGACTCCGGAAATAGATAACGATGCATCCGCTGTTCTAAGTGACAATTTTTGTATGAGTCTTTCCGCCACAATGTTCACTTTCGAACCCGAGTCTAACACCGCTCTAAATTCGCCTGACATACCGTTAGCTGCGTTGATGATAAATCTAGCCGTTGTTAGGATTACATTTTTCTGATCTTCTGCTGATGCCGAAGAAACTGCAGTGATGTTGACAGGTGCGATATCGCTTTTTGTTGGTGGCATTTGATTTGAGACCTTCGGTGACGGTTGAGACTTTTTTTGGCAAATGTAGCAATGTACTGTGCTTATTACTACATATTTTGCAGTTGCCAGAAAAACTAGTTTTTGCTACATGGTCCGACTTGAAACAATTTACACCCAAATTATGTTACTGTATCCATTTCAATCGCTCACCTTCTGTCGTTCTTGCATGGTTTACAACTCCTGTGATGCTCCACTGATGTTACGAACGAAACAATTTTGATTGAACCCTTGTGAGTATATGCCGCTTTTCCAATCGATTCCATTGACTCAAATTGTAGTTCCAGAAATGCAAACAGCTCTTTTATAGTAGGAACTTCCTTTGGATTCGTCACTGATTGCATAAATCGTATGTACAGCGCGTGATCCAATTTCTTTGACATCAATTGAATCAATTATGGTGGACGCTGTTCAATTCGAAACTATAACCATCCTAACGTCACAATGTTTGCTGGGAATGGACTGTTCCCAATTAAAGCTCTAATCTATTTTTAGAAAAATTACAAACTTATTCCAATTTAAATTTGGAATTATTCCACAAAATTGGAAATCGTGTCCCCTGCATTCCGAAAGGCACCAATGTACTTGCCAAATAAGCAGACGCGATCGAGACCTGGCTGTGGCCTAGAGCAAGTGTCCCCGACTACCAACCCAAGCGTCCGAGTTCAAACCCCGCACACGGCAACGCATTTTTCGTTCATTATTACTTTTTTCATGAAAATTATAGTATTATCATATTTGATAATAATATTTACATCTTCTCATTGTAATTTTTGTGAATTATCAGAAAGAAGAAAAAAACCGTAAAAATTTCCCAAACTAAAATTTTCCCCAAAAAATAACGTTTCGCCAAAAAGAGTTCAACTGCATTCCTTTTGAGAACAATTGCTGAATTGAGTAGCCAATCAGAAATAAGTTCCATTGTTCTCAATTGTAGTTTCGTTCAAAACTCTCACAGCACAAACGACAAACTAATGCATTGGAGTTTCATTAGTGATCGACAAACCAAACTCTTTCTTTTCCTTTTAAACTTGGCTGCTGAACAGAACAGACTTTGTGAACAATTAAAAAAAGAAATAAAAAATAAATCTTTACTAAATAAAATTTTAAAATCATTTTTATAAACCCATATATTTTTTATACCTTTTCTTAAAAAAGATAATAAAATTGGGTACGATTTTTTTTCCAAATTTAAATAAAAATCTATAAGTGATGGTGATAAAATTTGTTACAGAATTACAATCAATCCAGAACAAAAAATCCGAATTCAAAATCCTCATTTGCGGGTATTATTACAATTACCCGTAAATGAGGTATTTATTAATTTGCTGCTCAAAACGAAATCTGAAATATTGAGATTAACCGAGGTTATCCAAAAAAACACTTAAATTGAGTTTAATATAAAAAGTGCTCATATTCACATAACCCGCAGTGTAACCGCCAGAACTTGGAAGACGGATTATCTACGTGGTTTTCTTCTTATTGTGACCCCTCATTCTAAGCTACCAATCAGCAACGAGACAGCTGTGTTGGGACTGCTGTTTCGCCTCTATTCCCCTCTTCCAGAAATCAAAAGCCTAGACACATACCGGAACGCCTAATATAATCCGAGAAGCAATCCGACATCAAGAGCTGCGATAGCCTAGTGGGCAAACGGCCGACGTAGAAATCATAGCCAGGCGCAGGGTCGCAGGTTCGATCCCTCCCACCGTCGACCAAAAAAAAAATATACATGAAAAATTGATTTTTAAAAACGTAATATGAATGGGTACACACAAAAATCAATCCAGAAAAAAAATCCGAATTCAAAATCCTCATTTGCGGGAATTATTACAATTACCCGTAAATGAGGTATTTATTAATTTGCTGCTCAAAACGAAATCTGAAATATTGAGATTAACCGAGGTTATCCAAAAAAACACTTAAATTGAGTTTAATATAAAAAGTGCTCATATTCACATAACCCGCAGTGTAACCGCCAGAACTTGGAAGACGGATTATCTACGTGGTTTTCTTCTTATTGTGTCCCCTCATTCTAAGCTACCAATCAGCAACGAGACAGCTGTGTTGGGACTGCTGTTTCGCCTCTATTCCCCTCTTCCAGAAATCAAAAGCCTAGACACATACCGGAACGCCTAATATAATCCGAGAAGCAATCCGACATCAAGAGCTGCGATAGCCTAGTGGGCAAACGGCTGACGTAGAAATCATAGCCAGACGCAGGGTCGCAGGTTCGATCCCTCCCACCGTCGACCAAAAAAAAAAAATATACATGAAAAATTGATTTTTAAAAACGTAATATGAATGGGTATACACAAAAATGATCAACCAACAAGCAAAATAATATATGAAGCACACAAAAAGCACTTTACATAAAACCACACAAAACTCCCCTATAAATGATGATAATCAATCTCAATTAACAAACACAGCCTTTTAATATTGATGTCACCCAAATAAAAAAAGACAACACAAACAACTACACCAGAACCAGAACAAAAAACTAAACATAATAGTATCGTATGAAAGATTTGTAGAATGCAAAATTATAACTATTGAATCTTTCCCCTCACTTTAGCCTAAAACCCAGAGGGATCCTCAATCCTTCCACACACACACAACAAACATACAAGAATGACATCCTTTATATCTCCAATACAACGATAATGATCCTGAGGCCTCGGTGACATCATCAGCAATATTGAGAAAAAAGGACAACCTAAATACATACACTTCAGTAAGTCGAAAGAACCTCGTAAGTTCTAAAACATCCTTGCATTTTAAATTTTGCATATTTTTTCGTTTATTTTCATATTTATTTGATTTTAAAACATTTATCTGTTGAAATCCTTAAATTGAATTTGAATACTTTATGTCCTAGTATGTCCGTCCGATACTTTATGTCCTGGTATGTCCGTCCGTTAGCACACCCTTTTCCGCATAATACATAAGTTTAATAATACTTTTATTTTCTAATCGAATCGCTTAAGTATCCATAATTACTTTACCCAATGTTATGATTAATCTTTATCCATTACAATATCGACCAATATTCGTATATTGATGTTTGAATTATTTTGCAAGTATACATTTTGTTGACATAATGAAATTCTAATTTGATCAATTTGCTTACGTGGTGACGTAAGAATGAAGTAGGTATGGAAGTAGTGGTAAAGTAGTAAAAATACTGCCACTAAAACCATGGTTGGGAAGGGTAATGAGGCTAGGGTTTCCGAACACCTAGGAATTCACTCCTTTTTATGATGATTTTAGTCTTTTCCATAGCTTTTAGTTAATATTTGGTATTGATTTTTTTGTTTGTATATAATTCGGGAGTCTGGAATAAAATTTTTGTTTATGTGCCGATGGAATGGTCACCAGCTCAAAGTAGATCCGAACCCCCCACCCGACTGAAGCTGGTGTTTGAATGGCTCCCTTATATCTATTTTGTTCGTGGTTAGTTGTATTTGTTTTCCTATTCTACCTCACCTTCCATCCTTGTTCAAACTATTTATCCTTTATCACACATAACGAAACGAAAGACATCAGTAAGTGGTTTTGAACTGGATTTGAACATTACACAATAGAGCATCCCAAGACGTAGTGTCGATTTGAAGATTGTTGAGGGCTAGCATGCATTCCTTTGTAGTGTCATGCAGAACCTTGATGGAAGCCGTTGATGAGGTTCCATTTGGTTGACTCAGAATCCGTTCTACTAGAGTGGAAACGAGAACCCGTTTATTGTTATAACGTTCTTGCAGCAACATCCATGCCGTTTTGTAATTATCCTCTTTCAAGGATAGATGGCTGATTAGTTTGCCAGCCTCGCCAGATAAATTGGTTTTGAGATACCACATTTTTTGAACACTTGGAAGATACTGTTTGTCTACCATCTCCAAGAAAATTTCATAGAACTGACGCCACTTCAAACAATCCCCATTGAATTGAGGAATTGTTACCTTTGGTAGTGGGAGTGAACTGTGTGCTATAATGTCACTCCCCAGTTGAGGTGCAATCGTCACGGTTTCACTGCATTTGTCATTCACGACTGCCAATTTTATTAAGTTGTCTTGTACCGAATCTTCCAGCATATCGTAGTTTTCTTGACTCAATCCAATATTCGATGATCTTCAATTTGCTGCAATTTTTCATCGTAGAGCTCCGTTATTTGATTCCATAGCTTCTTTATAGTATTTTTTGGCAGACATCAGTTTCTTCATTTCCATGTCTATATATTCCATTGTTTAGCTGAACTTCTCTCCAATCGTTCTATATAGATTCCGAGCAATATACGGATCATCCTCTGACAAAGATGGATCATCGCGAATTCTGTTTTCTGCCTTCTCGAAACTCTGCCATAAAAGCCTTAGTTAATCAAGTTTGCCCTTGTAGAACTCTTCCGTTCTTCTTTCAAGAGGGGCCTTCTTTATAGTGGAGACGAATTTTTCGAAATTACTGGCTCTTTCTTCCTGCTGAGAAATAAGCCCTTGGACGTTTGCCATTGTTTTTTGTTGATGTATTAGCGCGTAGCAGCAGTTGTTGTATGATGATTAGTTAGCAATTTCCTCCTGTTGCTCCAAAGCTCAAAAGGGGGTTTTTGAAATTTTTTGTTGTTTTTTGGGGTCACCAAAAATTGATTAATTTGTTATTAATAAATTACGAAATCTTTGTAGTTTTACAATTTCTTGTAATCTACAAACAATCTTTATTTTGTATTGAATATTTATACAATTTTTGAATTACTATAAGATTAGCTAAATATGCATAATCAGTATTATTCCTCAGCCCGTAACCCATGTATTGTGAAACCATTCGAGTTGTATAATATGATAATATGATAATATGAAATAATATGACTAAATGATAATAACAATATGATTAAATGATAATATGATTAAATCAATATGTTCTTTTTGAACACAACCTAAAGTTAAAAATTTTACTCTTTAAGAGGAAACTAAATCAACTCCAATGTACCCACTTTTGAAAAAAATTGCAGAATATGAGTATTTTTATTACTTATACCGTAGTGTTATATTTTTAATGTGTCATTTATGCAATTTGGCATATTTTCAACCAATTTTTGTAAAATTTCGTTTGAAACATTCTTCCAATCGTATCAGATCTACTGCTAAAGTTCGTCTAAATTATTAGGGGCTGATTGATACTGTCCCACCTCACTCTTTACTATTGGCCCCAAATTATCCTTTGTATTGAGGTCGGGACTTCGTGCTGGCTACTGCGTTAATCGAAAATTTTGCTCACAAAGTTGTTCTTTCACTAATTTGGACCTGTATCTCTGATCACCGTCCTGTACATAATTACTTATTCTACAGGATAGGCCTTCATATCCACCAAAACAGGTTGGTATGACTCTACAATGCTCTCAATAGACTTATTTCATTGTTATATTGTCAATTTTTGTTACATCGGTCCAGGACCCACAAGTTTAAGCCAACCCATACCATGCCGACATGCCGATTTCTCAACCGTGCTTCACATTGGGCTTTTGAATTAGTTTTCATTACCAATAATGCTTATAGTCAGATTGAAAAGATTGAATTTGGATTCGTCGGACCCGATCATACGTTTACAGTCGATCACTGTTCAAGTAGCCGAAAAGCTATAGCCAATGTCGGAAAGGGCTCTTCGCGCATTTCAAGGACGAACAGGTTTGAAGAGTACTATCGAAGCATACTTTGGTGTTAAAACTTATCAATTTATATTTTCCTTATCATTAGAAGTGGGTACACACAACTTATGAGCGGTGTACGACCACGTCTGTTATGTATTTTATTTTGTTAAATAGGCTTCTCGCAGTATTTACTTTCATATTCCATGGTTGCGTCGACTGGTAATTTATGATTCATCCTGATGATGTCTCTTTGGAGGACCATTCTGTTCATAATTTATTGTCAGTCTTGATAATTAGCATATCCAAATATGGTAAATTGTGGTCTTTTTCGATCGTGATATGCATTTAAAAGTCTAAGAATATTTGTATTTAAAAAGTTTGTTTTGAGGTCGATGTAAAAAAGGCCCAACAAAAAACATAAAGGATTAATAAGAATAAAACATTGGTCAACAACAAAAATAAGAAGAATTTGAAAATAACAACACCAACAACAAAATAAAAATGATTAATTTCTTCATACATATTATTAATAAATACAACAAAGAAACAACCAAATTACTAAAGCAGTACAGTATTTTTCGGTTAATTGCATAACGAAATTTGCACAGATTTTTGATCAATTAACCGAGGAACCAATTATCCGAACCCGGTTAATTGAATAGGTTGTTCAATTACAGTAAATCCAATGTCAAATACAAATTACGCTTTCTCGCAGTTTTTCCTTATCAATAAACATATGTTTTGAATTAGTAGAGATGCCACCTAGTCTTTTTCACAAATTATGTCAAATATGTATGTAAAAAAATGGCTGATTATTTTTCAATTATTATTATGCAATTAGCCGGTGAAAAGTGAAAGGAAATTATTTTTTGGTGACATGAATTTTGAACCAATTAAGCGAGAAAACCAATTAACAGGGTTTAATAATCAGAGAAAATTTGCATGTATTTTCCTATGAAATATTTTTTGCCCCACCATGTGGTTCAATTAAGCGTGGCAACCAATTAACCGTAGGGTCAATTAACCCAAAAATTCTGTATAGCAAAGTTATAGAGAAACCATCTACGCAAATGGAGAGATACAATTTTTTACAATCATGCAGAAGATATGAGATATCACCAAAACACTCTCTCAAACAATTAACATAACTGTTCTCATACACAACAAGAAGCAGGGAAATGAACCAGTTTTAAACTAACTTTAAACTAATTTTTCAAATAGAATGATTTTTCCTTCCTCTTTGCATTCGTTGTTGTTGAATGCGTGTGTTATTTTTTGATGGTACGAGCATATTTTTGGTTTCAAAGTGGTTGAGTCTTAGATGACTTTCTTGCTAATTTATAATCAGTTGAACAATAATTACTTTATAACTAAACATTTTGTAAACTAGTTAATGAAAGTCCTACAGGGAAGTAACAAACAATTGTAAAGCCAAACTACTCAAAATGGAAATAAGAGAAACACATATACAAAAACACGAACAAAACAAAATAATGCAGGGTACATTGGACGAAACAGAAATTAAAACATTTAAAAACGAGCAATGGAATAAATATTACAACATCAAAAGAAAATCTAAACAGGCACACTTATCCAACATTAACAAACTAAAGAGCAATAAATTTAAGGAATATAACCTAATATTGAATAAATACTGGTTCATAAATTATAAATTAGCACTCAACGCAACCACTGAATATGAAAGTAAATACTGGGAGAAGCCTTTTAAACAAAATAAAATACATAACAGACGAACAATACATAAACAAAAAATATCGAAAATACGAAGGAATACTGAAGAAAAATAGTTATCTTCCCAGATAGATAGACGACATAATATATGAATACAATAACAGAAAACAGAACAACCCAAAAAACTACATTCAAAAAAATAATTTTGTCTGTGCACCTCATACATCGAACTTGACAGAGACAAAAACCTTGCGAAATAACATTCAAAGGTAACGAAAATTAAAAATGCGATAAAGTGTATGTGCTTACAACAAAACTATGCTAAGCGTGAGAGTAAATGAAATAAAGGAACAGAAAAAACTGCACTCTCACAGCACATAAAAGAGACTGGCCACACAGCTGACTTTAAGACCATCAAAATATTAGACAAATCTAAGAATGAAAACAAACGATACATATTAGAAAGCCTGCGGATACAACAAAGAATTGCCAGAATAATAAACACAAATGAAGACAAAGACAATACGAAGCTTCAGTATTCTATTGCAATTAGCTAAAACCAGTTCTGTGATATACCTAATTTTTAACTGTGATTAATTTATTATTATTATTTTTTTTTATTATATAAATAATGTGGTGTCCCTTTTTTTAATTTAAGTAAATAATAGGCAAAATGACAAATAACTAAAGTAAGTTAAAAATAAGTGCAATCAATTTTAAGAATATAATGAACGAAATTACAGTTTTATTTTGTTAAGAGATTAATAAATCAGTTTTTTAAAATGTTTGAAAAAAATATGGGGAAAAAACTGTTTTACTTTTATAACAATTACCTGACCAATAAAGCCTAACGAATTTCAATTTCTAATCGAATTCGGATAAAAATTATTGGGAAATTATGAGGGAAATTAAGATTTTCCGACAGAAATTTGTCGGAATCCGAAAGGAATTTTCGACTTTCTGACAGAAATCGAAACGAATTCCAATTAAAAAATTAAGATTTTCTGAAAAGAAAATCTAGGAAAAATAATTGTTTTTTATTTCTTAAAATCTTACAATTTATTTTATTTTTTCTTTGTAGACATTTTTACAAAAAAACACAAGTGTTGGCGGTTTATTTGGGTTACCATTTGTATTTTGTTTTTGAAAAATAGTCAGGCTGAATCCCAGTTTGTTGTTTTTATAAAAAACAACTATTTATAAGTGGGGAATTTATGGCATTCTTCGCCGAGGGGTAAGGCAGGGATGACTATAGCTTCGGATCATGCCACTGATCCTCATCAGTTACCTTATTTTTTTGTTAAGATATTCTCCCCAGAAGCTATTTATTGCTTCTATACAAAAAAAAAACTTTCATACCCAAATGTCTCTTGTAACAAAGCGAAGTACTTAGCTAACAACGAAATAAACTGCATGAGAATTTCGCTGGTGCCTCACTTCGAGGTTAACAAGGCATTTACAAACAATACCATACCTTTCCCACTGTTTTGTGTTGTCACAGCGCGAAGAATGCACACAACGACTTTGTTGGTGTTGCTAGTATACAACTTCAGTAGTGTTTCTTACTACAATAAATGCGTAATAATAAATGTACAGACATATTCCAATTCTGTTTTTCTTATAGTTTTTCACCGTTGTCCGAATTGAAGAAATGTTCTGGCAGCAAACCCCATATCTATGTTAAAAAGAAAATATTTAAAAAATAGAAAAAGATATTGAAATATGAATGGATATTTATTTGTCTTACCTATAATAGATAATTTTTATTGTCACACCTTCTACAGAATTTGAAATCACATTTTATTTGTAAACACTTTTTAACACATTAATCCAACTCAAGCACGCTTCCACTGGCAATGATATCAGAGCCCTCCGAAAAATTCTTAGCTGGGCTAGCAACACCAACAACATCGTTGTGTGCATTCGTCGCTATTTGACGACACGCGACAGTGGGAAAAGTATGGCCTTTTAACCTCGAAGTGAGGACCTAGAAAAATGCTCATGCAGTTTATTTCGTTGGTTAGATAAGTACTGCGCTTTGTCACTTTTTATAAAAACAACAAACTGGGATTTAGCCTGACTATTTTGCCAAAACAATTTTTATGAATTTTTAATATGTTTTATGATTTACTTAATTTATGCAGTATTTTGTATAATAAGTATGTTTTGAGAATAAAACAATTTAAATTTTAGTTTCACCCATCTCATTATAAATCCTAATATCCTTCTAATATTAATATCATCAATGTTGGTAGAGTCGGTGCCATCCGGCCTTCGCATACAATGTTGGTGTAGTCGGACACAAATGACGGCCTAGGCCATCGCTATGTAATTGTTTAAAGGCTTCGCGTGGGTCGCACCTATATTGTGGTTGGTCTCAGTTGGAAGATGTATAGGGATCCAAACATAATAAATTTGCATCCAAAAAAATATATGTTTGCAACCAGTCCAAAATATGTTTTTATCCAAACATATTTCTAACATATATAACATTCACCACACTGTGGTGCAGGGTATTATGTCTTTGTGCATATGTTTGTAACAGGCAAAAGGAAACGAGATAGACACATAGTTCCTTTTGAGAATATGCATAGAATCACTTTATAAGTCGATTTGTGCATGTCCATCCCATATAGCTCCCATATATATTTTCGTCCTATTTAAGGTAAATTGTGTACCAAAGTCCCTAACTATCTTTTGATTTGCACGAAATTTGGCATATCGTACTGAATTGAGTCTAGAATAATGCGTGCTAAGTTTCGTGAAAATCGGTTCAGATTTATATATAGCTCCCATATACATTTTCGTCCAATTTTATGTAAATGATTCACCAAAGTCCCTACATATCTATCGATTTGCACAAAATTTGGCATAGCGTACTGAAATAAGCCTAGAATGATGTGTGCCAAGTTTCGTGAAAATCGCTTCAGATTTAGATATAGCTCCCATATATATTTTCGTCCGATTTAAGGTAAATGGTGCACCAAAGTCCCTATATATCTTTCAATTTGCACGAAATTTGGCATATCGTACTGAATTGAGCTTAGAATAATATGTGCTAAATTTCGAAAATCGGTTCAGATTTATATATAGCTCCCATATATATTTTCGTCCGATTTAAGGTAAATAGTGCACCAAAGTCGCTATATGGGTTCGGATTTGGATATAGCTCACATATATATTCTCGTCCGATTTTGTGTAAATAGTGTACCAAAGCCTCTACATTTCTTTCGATTTGCACGAAATTTGTATAGCGTACTGAATTCAGTATAGAATGATGTTGTTAAGTTTTGTGAAAATCGGTTAAGATATAGAAATAGCTTCCATATATAGTTTGTTCCGATT